AAATAGTCAGTCTTGTCAAAGCTCTTTCTGTCCATGAAGATGCCACACAGTATCCCTTCCTCCATAGGTATTAGCCTAAAGTTACGCCATGTTAACAAAAACACAATGGAGATCTTGGGTTGGCCATGGAGAGAGAATGGCCCAGCCAAGAATGGCTGCACCATGTGGTGATGAGTCTGTTCTTTGTGGTTCATCTCCCCCTCGGATCTGGAAGGCTTCAGCCTTCCCAGGGGGAACTGTGATAGATGGAGCTGGGAGACGCACAAACCGACAGGTTCACTACCTTCTTCATTCCTAAGTCCATTTCTGCATAACAACAACAAACTGTATCATCAATATAGAGACAGAAGTCTGTCTTTCTATTATCATAGTGCCAAGCTACTAAATAAAAGCTCAAAGGTGAATGAACAAGTGAAATGGAGGTATTTAGCCTCACTTGTGCCCCGTTTTATCAGTGCTTTGGAGTTTCTTACACTTTAATCAAACCCTTGTCGGCTTCCTGCGTCAGGTTGGAGGGCATTTGGTGGCCTGGGAGCCCTTCTGAACAAGATCACTAGCTTTACGCTCTTCAGGTTTCATGTTTTCAACAGCAAATGTGCCAGTCATAAAATTATGGATTTTCCTCATAAAACTACCCTCTGGAAAGAGGCATAGGATTATTATCTCTTCTCCAACAGCTGCTTTTTCTTCTTGTAAACCTGGTAGGTATAATCTAAAGCTTCCTTCTTATAAAAATGCTTCTATAAGAAAGAGATGAGGGTGAAAATGCCTTTTCACAGACCCTCTGTCTATCCCCACTATGGGGATTACTTAAGCATGAAGAAATTTCATGATGATTTGAAACTGACTACCCCCTTCATCTCCAAGTGCTTCGGGATCACCTCCCCAGCTGTTTAAAAAGTTGTTGAGCCATTAACTGCTGCTGAGGCTGCTCTGAGCTCCCTTTGAAATGGGGGTCCCCCAGCGGTAGTACATAATATTAATGAACAATAAGTGACTGCCAGCTGCTTCCTCCACCAGGCCTTTCTGGGCGCTGACAAGTGCTACTGCTGCCCCTGTGTGGCCTCCTGGCCCACCATGCCTCCGGAGTGATGGATGCCCCTGTCAGCACTTCTGTTTCCACAGCTGATTGGATGCCTTTAAACCAGCCTCTTCCGAGAGCACAGAGATTGGGGAAGCTCTTTGCCTTTCTCGGTGATCCTTGTTCGAGTGGTCCCAGAGTTCTTTTACCAAAAGCAAGTCTCACCATTCAGCCCATTCTCCAGACGAGCAACAGGAAAGAATCCAAGTCCCACAGAAGAGGGGAGAATGAGTTTCTGAATCAGATGCCTCTTAAACCCAGTTTTAGGCAGGAAAGAAGCAAGAGTCCATATTCCCTTTCCAAAACCGAACACATGGTCAAATAATTCTGGTGCAAGTGAGCAAGGGTTTCAGTCCTTGTCTCATACATTTAATTTCCCACCTTCATCCCCCTTGTCTAAAGGAACAAAAAACTGCTTGAAGAATCGTAGCACCTAGGATTCGACTTTATGGATCACAGTTTATTAAATGAGCAACTTATTTTAATTGCTACAAGAAAATGAAAACCAATATGTTGCTTTTTTATTTCAATAAAAGTAAAGTGCTGATTTTGTATGCATACTTGATATACAAAGATTTAATTTTTTGGTGCTTGGTTAAGGGCTAAGCTGGTTTCTTGCCTTGTGTCTCATTTGACTAAACAAGTGTGGTCTTGACTATGTATTTCTCTCCTTGAAGGAAGCATTATATGGGAATGGAAGCATGACCCTTACACATATATTGACACACATATGTTATGCCAGGCTCTGCTACAGAGAGTTTGTATTGCCTCATTTAATCCTCACAACAACACTCTGAGATAGGGACTGCCATGATTGCCACCTGATAAATAAGAAAGCTGAGAGGTTCAGTGACTTGCCCAAGATCACAAAGCTAGAAATAGCAGATGCAGGACTCAGTCAGGCTTTAAACCCATATGCTGTTTTTGTTTTTAATCATTCAGCTACTCCTCCTCATGCGGTATTTGTGTCCCAGGGGCCTCGGGAATTTCATGATTTGTCCCTCACCAAACTAATAGGACTAAGCACACGGACTCTTCCCTCTCTAAATACAGTTGCGTGCCTGTCTCCTGAAAAGGAGCCAACTTTACACGCAGCTACCAGGACTGTTTCAAACATAATAAACAATTTACTTTTCAATTTTGAAAAACAGTTGTAAATGCATAAGATTTGAACCTCTGGAACAGTGTTTCTCAAACTCTCTCTCATGGACCCACTACATCAGTATCCCCACGGAATGTTCATTTCAAACATGGGGTCTGAGCTCCACCTAGACTTACAGAAAAGCACAATCCCCAGGGGTAGATCCCAGTAACCTGCATTTGTGGGAAGCACCCCAGTGACTCACACACACTAAAGACCGACAAGCATTCCAGAGTTGCTTGCGGGAGTTTCAGGAGCTCTGCACATCATCAATTCAACTGCCTCTGATTATAGGAAGCTTTCAAAGCCTTTCTGCATTCGGTAGCTCTTTCAGGGAGAACTGTAACTGTTCTCAAACTGTCACAGTCTCCTTCTGTGTGGACCAGCTGCTTAAGAGAGCTTGAATAATTTCCCAAGGAACTCTAGTCGAGTGGACACTCGCACACTCTTCACCTATGAAAGCATAGAAAAGATGCAGTTTTCCGTCCTGGACCCAAAGCGAATCTTTCAGAATGGGCTTCTGATCATCTTTCTCTTTTTGCTGAAAACCCTTACAAAGACCTTCATGTAACTGAGACCTTGTGTCATCTGGCCAGCCCCATCTCCAGCTTTATCCTTGGACAAGCTCACCCACTGCTCCGGCAACACTGAATTTCCTTCAGCTGCTTCCAGTGCCCCCAACACCACAGCACCTTTGCATACAACCCTGGGGCATAGTCTGTGACCCCCAGCCCCAGCAGCTGGTTAGATCTCACCCTTCCTTCAGAGCCCAGTATAAACGGCACTTTCTGCCAGTCAGAGAAAGATAAGTATCACGCGATCCCACTCATATGTGGAATCTAATGAACAAAATAAACTGATGAACAAAATAGATCCAGAAACACAGAAGCATGGAACACAGACTGTCAAACCCCAGAAAGCAGGGAGGGGAAGAGGGAAGAGAATTTGTACGCATATGTGCATGGACCCAGACAATAGGGTGACGGAAGGTTTGCGGTGGAGGGTGGGGGTGGCTAGACGAGGTCAATGGGGGGAAAGGAGACATATGTAATATGTTCAACAATAAAAAAATTTTTAAGTGGCACTTTCTGGGGAAGCCTTCCTGGCCTGCCAGAGGAAGCCTGAATGTCCTAATATCCACCACTTCCGGCATCATTCCTGCACAGCACTCACCGCAGGTTTTCAGCTTGCTCTTGTCTGTGTGCTAACCTGATTCACATCTGTCTTTCCAAGTCGATTATTAGCAAGAACCAATCTGTTTTGAAGTAACTCATAGTGTTGGACAGAAAGTCTTCACTCTCAGTCTAAAATTTAACATTCATTTGATAGACAAAGATTCCACATTTTTTCACTTCTAGCCCTATCAGTAAACAGCTGAAGTGGGAAGTCTGAACACCAGACTTCTTCATGTGTTCTAGATCCCTTTAATAAATATGTCAACAGCTCTCACCATAACGCTATTTTTAAATTGTTCATAGTATGGTAATATCGTCATCAGTTGTTGAAAGGAAAGTTAATGAAAGAGTGGAAATTTCGGAAAGCCACAAAGTACCTAATTATCTATTTCCTCTTGTACTTCAAAGAGTGCAATGGTTTCTTATGATTAAGTAGGGGAGGGAGCGCAGTGAGCCTACTTGGTGATTAGATAGGTTTTATTAATATTTTATCATCACTTTCAAGTGAGCTATATGAACGATCAAGCTTATCTTTTGTAAAACTATTCTCTATATGAGAACATACCTCATTCCCACAGTCATTGGATCACAGTGAGATTTGGATTTAAGCTAATGTTGACATTAAATGATAGATTCTAAGTATACCTAAATTATAAGTATGTTAAAAGTTAGAATTGTTCATCTCCTAAGACTTCTATACCATTTTGGAAAACTGTGGACATTATTACAAAAACATGGTCTTCTTATTTGAACTCAAAATTACATCCTACGTTATATATGTAGTTCAAAACCTAGCAATTATAAGTAGATATTCTCATGCAGGTTTTTAAAAAATCTTCCTAAGGGAGCTAATTGGCAGTGACCTTCCAAATTTTTCCTTGATTAAATATAGGTTTCATTTCGTGCATTACAGCAGAAAAGGATTTGAGAGATGTAGGCAGGCCAGTGAGCCTGACAGCAAAGCAGTCCAGGTCATTATGAACTGCACCTCATATGGCGTAGGCTACCCCTTCCTAACTTCTTCACCTTCCCAAACTAAAAATCTAATATTCACATCACAAAAGTCTGTGGGAAATAATAGAAAATAATATTAGCTAACAACTGTGTTTCCTGCCTGCAATGTTCTTAACACTTTCGTAAAATTACTTCATTCAGTCCACACAACAACCCAGTGAAGCCGGTACTGTGCCCATTTTACAAATGAGAAAACTGAAGCATTGCGTGTGTGTCACAGCCACACAGCCAATTAGTTGTTCTGGAACCAGGATTCCAACTCAGTCAGCCAGCCTGCAGAGCGCCCACTCCTAATGCTTAAACTAGACTACCTCCCATACATACTTTATTTAAGAACAATGAATCAGGAAGCTTGGTCCATCTCTCTTTCTCTTTATTTTCCCTTTGGATGGTGGGGTGAGGGGGGTAGGATGAGCAGTTTGTTTTGTTTTGTTCTAAAGGAAAAGCTGAAAGTGAGCCTTCTTTCTTTCTGAACATCTTTTTCCAAAGCCATTTCCCTTCATCTGGGGCCAAGAAGGACACTGATTCACAAGACAGAGCACTAATGAGCTTCCCCCTTTGTCTCCTTCCCTGCCCCTCCATTCTGCAGTTAATAGCCAAGATACCGACCATCACGGCGGTTTGCAACTTGCACGGGGAGAAGCTGCAGGTATTTAAGCAATCGCATCCAGACATAGTGAATACACTCTTTCCTCCGTTATACAAGGAGCTCTTTAATCCTGACTGTGCCACCGTCTGCAAATGAAGGCAGCGACAGAACTGTCTCATAGTCCTGGAATGCATCACCATTAACACAAAAGCAATGTGTTCATGAAGACTTAAGGAAAATGTCACTACTGCAACATTAGGAATGTCCTGCACTTAATAGAATTATTTTTCACCGCTACAGATTGAAGAATGTAAATATGCACCTGAGTGGGGCTCTTTTATTTGTTTGTTTGTTTTTGAAATGACCATAAATATACAAATATAGGACACTGGGTATTATCTTTTTTTTGTAATTTTATTCGGGTATGTTTTGGGAGACAATTGTTTATAGAATTTTATTGTAGATATATACGAGAACAGAGCGGTACTTTACATGATTACTTTTCCTGTTGATTGTTCAAATATAATTTAAGAAAATTCCACTGAATAGGTTTACCTATTTCTATGTTTTTAGATAGTTGATGCATGTGTAAATTTGTAGCTGTCTTGGAAGGCATTGTGCATATATGTAATAAGTATATAATATCTGAGAATATTATATATGACAATTACTTATACATGCACATGCACTGTGGCTTAAAATATCATACCTACTATCAAAGGAGGTTCAGTCAGGCTCTCTTATATTATTTACCTTCTGTGTTATATGTTACCTTTATGTTAGACAATCAGGATTTTGTTTTCCCAACCAGAGTGTTCATCCACAGTCAATGGCAAGATGGTACCAATTCAGAAATAAGTCTGCAAAGGAAGAATTATAATGCATGGCCTCTGTATAAAAACTCTGCTTCTATCAATGACATCAAAGCCTTGTCAAGATGGTACATATTGGAGGGGAAATACAAGTATTTGGAGCCATTTTCCTGTTTTAAGAATTAGGCTACAGGTAATATTGTGGAGTCCAGGACTTTTTTGACCAAACCATAGATTTTCACCAGGACACACAAAACACTTCTTTTCTTTGGATTTCGGGTTATGAAAGAAACTTGATTTTGGTGCTTACTGTGTCTTCAACAGAGAACTACAATCTGTAGATTAAAATCACCAGCAATTTTTTTCTAATAAAATTGGAGTAAATCAGAAGCTAGGGTCCCAATGCCATTTCATATAAAGATTTTCTCTCTAAAAAAAAAAATATTTTTTTGGCAAAGAAGAAGTAGAAAGAAAATATACAAAGTAAAGAAGTAGTTCTTTATATCCATTTTCTTTAATAAAGTTTGTTAGAAAAAGCAGAAACAACGGGAAGGCAGGATTTTATATGTCCTTTAATCAGGAGCCTCTAGTTTTTTCCAGTTCCAAAACCCTGCATTATAAAAATATAGCAAAAACTTGACAGTTGGAAAAAAATATCTGAGTTATTATAAAAAAGAAATACACCCCAAAGCCAAACTCTTTCCCATGCAGTTTGAAATTACATTTTCCATCTAGCCTGAGATTATTTTCTTAGCATCTTTTAAAAGTACAGATCACAGGAGGTGAAATAAGGATTAGAGAGTTTAGGCTTCCTAGTACAAATTCTCACTTCTGCACCTGCTCTTCAATCAAACTGATCACCAGGAAAAAAACATAAATTCTATGGAGTTTGTTCTACCTGTGGTCTGAGGCCTATGCCTTTGGACTTATTTCATCCAAAATAGGGTTTTTAAAAAGGAAGGGAGAGGAGAGCTTTATGTATAAAACAATGAAAATTATGATCTCCTCTAAGTATAGCCCAGCCCCTTTTTCCTTTCAAACACACACATATGCACACACACACACACCTGCTTTATAAAGTTTCCATCAGTGGAAACTTTGAGTTCTTGGTTCATCTCTTATGCTTTCCTGAGTTACATGGTTGAGAGCCATCTCCACGCTGCCACAGAACTCCTCACTGATGATCAAACAGAAATGCAGTCTTTCCTTTTAGAAAACACAGTCTTTTTCCACCTCATGATTGATGAATTCCAAACCAATGGGGAAAAACAAAAAGGCTTTAAAATAATGAATCTCTTTCTCAACTACTGTTATATTCAATTAATTTAACTACATTGGACCAAATTAACTTCAGTGTCTAAGAAGACAGCTGTAGACTGCTTATTATGCTGCTACAGGGACTCAATTCTTTTTGGTGTAAATGTCACTCCTGCTAGCTCTTTGTATAAAGAATTAATTCCAAGAGTCATATTTCCTTCTAATGGAAAGATTACTTTACTGATTGCTAGGAAAACAGGGTAATGGAAGGCACTCAATTAAACCAAGCCGTTTCCAAATGCAATGTATGTTTTATGATTGGCTTGTGATAGGCGACATTTAATGTGTCTACTTGGTGTTTCCCTTTGAGCTTTGAACTTATGTCAAAGTTTGTTTTCATTGTTCTGTTGGCCTAGTGTTTTCCATTGTCGGCCTGTAATTCCTGCTCAGTTGCAAAGGGGATGGTTTGTTTCCTCCACTTTACCTTGGAGGATTTAAATTGGCCCGATGGATGAAGTGGCTGAGAATTTTTTCCTCCCGTGTCCCATGGGTGATGTAGGAAAAAGATTGCTCCCCACATTTGCCTCAGGAGGTACTGGATTTGAATTTGTGTCGTTTCCACTAGTGCAGGCATTTAATTGGGACAGCATGAACCTTTTGAAGCGAGGGGATAGGAAACAGCTAGAGACTGAACCGAAACAGAGCAGTGGAAACCAGTGCGCGCTCAGCCCACTTCAGTTGAGAAAAGAGATTTCCGTTCTTCGCCACGGTTGCCAAATCAGTCCCTTAAAAGAGAACCAAGACATACTTTCAATGGTAACAAAGCACTTTTACAAGCTGCCCTTTAAACATCTGCTGTGACTCCCTCTCGAGGTATTTTGAAGGTTGGGTAAGAACAACTTCCTTTACCACACGCGATCCTCGTCCCTTCCCCACGAACACTCACAAATGTTCACAACACATTCATGGCAAAGTGTGCACTGGAAAAAATTACCCATGAGCCCTACTTTTCACTCCATGCTTCGTAAATGACAATCACTGCTTGATGCAGATGTTGCACTGTATCCACTCAGGGATGTTTTATTTCAAAAATAAAATAAAAAGGTACATCCAGAAGGAGGGGGAGGGGAAAAAAAACAGGAAAATGACAACAAAATGGAAATGGCATCAATTAAATATGCCAATGAGAGAACCTCTGACAAGGCTTTCAGACCAACAAGCAGTGACTTCATGTTGTAAACGAAACTTACGTTTACTATTTGGACTTGCTGACAAGTTGCTCACGAGTAAGAACAACTTAGTCTCATTTTCTAAAATCTGCCAAGAGCCAATAATCCAGCTGCTCCATTTACAGGAATATGTATCTCCCAGTGAACCCAAGCTTCCTTTACAAGTCCCGAGCAAGGGAAATACAGACATCTCGGCGGCATTAGATGAACCCGACAGGAAGGTGAAGCTGTACTTGTGGTCTGTGAAAGGAAAGGCAAACTTTGGAGGGAACGGAAGAGAAAGGGGATCCCCAATCCATCTAACATCTCACATAGACCCCTACTGCCCGTGACTCAGGTCATCTTTGTGTTCCTTCTTCTGCAGTTCTTTTGTCCCCAGGGCCTCAAAGCTGAAGGTGGAGATGTACTGCACAAACATATCCTGCCTGGATTCCCTTGTTTTAATACTGTTTTCTGGGCTTTGGACTAAAAGGCCACTGATTTGGTAAAAACAGAGACTACAGTGGTCTCGTGGGTAATTAGACCTTTTGGACAGAATCTAAGAGGCCCTAAATTATAATGAACTCTGAATATTAACGAGAGGTGCCAGGGAGGCATCAGTCCACTTTCTATCATAGCTGCCTTGTTCGACACATACCTTCACAGCAGTCAAGCTGAACTGTTTGTAGCAAATCACACACATGGGCAGTCAACTCACGCTCGCTCTCTACCACCCCATGCCATGTGTACTCGGTTTGAATGCAGAAACAATTCTTGTGTCCCGAGGACAACCTAGAATGTAACCAGGTTTTTTGCAAAAACATCAGATGCAAGTGATGTGAGTTTTGTTCCATGTTCTTCGTTTTCATTTATTATGGATGCAAGAAAAATTCTGCCTCTATTGGAAATTAGAAGAAATAATGTTTCCTGACCCTTTTTTCTCTATAAACTTTTGTTTCCAAGGAAGTTAGTACTATTGACAGTAAACTCAGGCAAGGATGTCTGTGCCGGACAGAACCACCATTCAATGGAACAGCAATAACTTTAAAATGTGCGTCTGTAGTGAGACTTTGCACAGAGCCCCCTGTATTAAGAAGATAAAAAAGCCCACCATCTGCTTTAGATGATGTGGTATCTGATTTTCTGTTTCTAACTGTCAGTCCAAGCAACAACCTGATATAGGAAAACCATGTGGGTCTTTAGTTAAGAGTTGACCACCATTTTGGGGTGAGGGAGGATCAGATCAGAGATACATGTTCATTTAAAGCAAGGGTTAACATTCAAAAGCCTAAAAGGGCCAGGGAGTTGATGCAAATGAGAGAAGCAGGCCAGTGGGGAGCTGGCAAGAAATGCCCCATCCGAAAAGGGCCAACTGATAGTCTGCTGAAGCTCAAGTGTGGCTAAAGCTTCTGAACCTTAGACGGTCTCTTGAGCTGTAAATGATGTCGGCTGATTCAGAGTGTAGTGCAGTCCAAACAAACATCTCTCTGAGCAGAAGAGGGCTCACAGTTTGCAGCCTCTAGTCTTAAAGCAGAGTCACATTCAAGGGCCGATTTGGCTGGAGAAGTCTGGCCAGATACAACTCTGAATGATATGAGGGTGGAGGTGGGGGTGGAGATCTTGTCCTTCTGATACTCATTTGGTTTCCACATTTGACTGTCACTACTAGAGGATGTAATAAGAGATCAATTGAAAAAATAGCAATCTAAACATGAAAACAATCTAATGATGGCTAATAAAAGACACTTCTCTTTGTCTTGCCCCAACTCCCAGCTTCATAGAGCCAGGTGGCTAGATTTTTTTGCCACTCTTTTTCCAAAAGTCATATTGCACAATTATTACGCTTTTGGGATCTGCAATCAGTCTTTATTTTCCCTTGGTTGTATCTAAAGAACTTATTCAAGAGTCATGATCGTTAGTCCTCCATCGTTCTGAAGTGCGGGACCATGGATTCCTATGCAGCAGGCGGGGCTGTCTGTCTGTGCACTTTTCCCCTACGCTGCTGGAATTCCTGCGAAGTGATTGGCCATAGGGATCATGGCTCTGGCATGACTGTGAGCACCACCTCCAGTGGATCAGAAAGAGCAGCTCAGTGATTGTCTCATGGCCAGAAATAAAGCACAAGGTTACGGGAATTGGAATAAACCCAGTTGAGGGACGTGCAGGGTACCTGTACCCCAGCTGGGCAGCATGATCCTTATCTCAAACTATACCCTTCCGGCAGCGGCTGGTGGAGAGCGTGTGCGTGCCTGTCACGGCTGCCTGCAGACACACACTAGGCATATCTGAAAACCTACAGATGCCACATCCAAGCACAGTACCGTCCGCTTCATCTGATTAACACACACACAAGAATGGGAACTACACCCACGGAAAACTGAGTATGTATTGTAGAAATGTAGAGGAAAAATAAAAATATTTTTTCAAATGTAATTACTTTTAATATATGCTTGTGGAAGGTCTAATACGATGTACGCTGTCTCTGTAATTTTTGCTGTAAATAACTGGAGACAGTGAATACACTGATTTTTCTATGTCTCTGTTTAAGCATAAGACTTTGTAACAATTTTTTTAGAGGGGGAAAAACCAACAAAGAGCAAATATGTACTTGCTTCCTTTCTGCGTGTTATGTGCTTCTCAGAAACTGGTTGGAACAGCTTAAGCACCCTGACGGGTCATTGGTGTTAACTGTACGCTTCTTTGTGTAATACAGCTGAGGAAGGGACAGGGCTGTCCATTACATCTGCTCCAAAGAATTTGCATTGAAGATCGGCCCCAAACCTGCAAGCTCTACCTGAACTAGACAATATGACAAAGGAGAGTTAAAAAGAGAGAGAGAGAAAGAAATGTTGCCTGAGTAAGTCATCTTTCCTTGTAGCAATGGCTTTGTCTAAATCCTCTCTGCATGAAATAGCTTAAGGAAAACAAACTCTGCATTCTGATGAACAAAATATTTTTGTACACGTTTATTTCTTATCAATAACCTGGGGTCAGACTACTCATTCGCTGAAGCCATAACTGACCTTCACCAAATAAATGCCGACCAGAACCCAGGGAGGGCCGGGGAGAGACTGAGAGGGAGGAAGATCGCAGGTGTCGTGAGCTGTAACAACACAGGCAGGAGCAAGTCTGATGAACCTGATGCTTTTCCTGCATCCCAAATATGACTTTAAAAGGCTAGTATTTTATGATGATCAATTTATAATAAAAGAAAAGATATTTAGATTTAAATGAGACTTTCCAGTATTTTTGAATTCCCTGACAATGCTTCCTTGCTTTTAGGATTGAGAGAAATGATTTTCATATACTTCCAACTTTCGGAGATGTAATGTTTTTACCTTCGCTCCAGCCTACATGTGTAGAGGGAAGAGCTACGCCAAGCCCTCCAGTGGTTGAAACCACGGGCTGTTGGGGGCGTGGCTGTACCTACCAACCATGACCGTACCCTGAGGGGCCATGTGTGCGTGTGCAGCTGGCCTCTCGTATTAGCATGCACATCATATTGGCAACGCACAGCAGTTGCATTGCCAAACGTATGTAACACGAAAGTATTCACGCTAAAAAGCATAATACTTATACTTTTTAAAAAAGAATAATGCCTTGTAGAGTCACCATTGATTTTTCTGGAGCTTAATTACATTATCATGTATTCTGATTGCCCTATAGAGGCAAAAGGCAAACTACAAATAAACCCAGTGACATCTTTAGTTTTAAAATCTACAAGTTTCTGATCTCTCTCTCCTTGTTTAATATATAAGCCCTAATTTCTGTGTACGTGAGTAAAACTGCAGCCTGAGTCATTTAGGAAGTAAGCATTGAGTTTTTTTAATTATAAATATACTAGAATAAAACAGCACTCCCTAACAATTAAAAAAAAAGAGTTTTATATTACTTTAGAATGTAATAAGTTTTGTCCTTATTTTATGTCCTGTAAATTATTAGTTGAATACTGTTAGCATTCCCTGATAATGCACACATGATTTCTGAATGTTTTCTGTAAATGACAATCAATGTTTATGAAGTTCCCTCCTTTAATGCAGAAGAAAATTAAAAGAAGAGAAAAAAAAGTCTTGCCTAATTGTTTTCTTTTCCCACATACAGAACAAGGACTGAATGAAGATGTTAGATTAGGCTTTGAAATATATTATCCTATTACCTATACAGTTGCCCTTTTCCCACTAAATAATGAAAAATAAATTCTGTCTTCATGGACCTGGCCTGAGTTAGGAATGCCCATTGAGAAAAGGACCAGACTTCATTCCAGCCAAAGAGCTTACCAATTAAAATGAGAGCAACGTCTCTCAAAGATAATAGTTCTCTTTTTCTGGAGCTTTCATAAAAGGAAGCCCCAGCCAGCAGAGCCGTAAGCAACACCTCTGTAAAAACTTTGTTTAATTAAGTTGCAGCAGGTTTGAAATAGGTGTGACAACTCCTTCATCTGATGAAAGCTTTCAACAATTAATGATTAAGTCTCTAGGTCTGTTTTTTGTTTGTTTGTTTGTTTGTTTGTTTTAAGAAAGCATCACCAAGCTGCTCCACCACCCAAATCAATGCTCACCAACATATGAATGCTCTGAAGCTGTAGCAGGAAGCAGTAGAGGACAATCACAGACTCAATGATGTTGACAAAGGCAGATCATAAGCTTTTAGGTGCTTGGAAGTTGTTGTAGGTTGGAGTCCCTAAAGATGAAATGCTCCAAGAATAGAAGTTTAGAGCAAAACATAGCCCTGGCTGGTTGTGGATCAGTGGTGGCCTGTGCACCGAAGGGTCAGAGGTTTAATTCCCAGTCATGGGCACATACCTAGGTTGCAGGTTGATCCCAGGCCCCGTTTGAGACAAATGTGGGAGGTGGGAGGCAACCAATCATCCCACATGGATGTTTCTCTCTCTCTCTCTCTCTCTCTCTCTCTCCCTCTCTCTCTCCCTCTCT